CGTTAGTCCGACAAATCTCAAAAGAATCGAGACGTTATAATTTTAAGAACTAATACTAAGATGACATAAACAAATTTATTTGGAATGATATTAGTATAGGTTTTTAGATGCTCAAAAAAATTTAATTTTAAATTTCCTTGTATCTATCTTGATACAATAATAATTGATTGTTCGGTGCACGATAAATAAAATATTACCCTGTATCTCTGGTACTTCATAATGTATAAATATGATATATGCACCGATAATGCGTTATCATCGCCTTCATCATTGGACGACTGTCTGAAAAAGCGAATCGTTTAATAATAATAATAATGATATATATATATATATATATATTATAACTTACACAAAGTGTACCTATGCATAAATATGGGTATAGACTCATTTATGGTGCTGTTTATTAGTAAGCACATATATTATCTATATTAACATACCAAATTTTCGATGAACATAACCATAATATGTACGTGTTCTAGGCAGGTCGTATTTAATTGATTATTTATTTACAGATATATTGATTAACCATTTCTATACTTTATGTATAAAAATTTAAATGGTTGAACCTAACCTAACCTAACCTAACAGCACCAATTTGAAAAATATTAGTTGTTTTACTAACAAAGTAAGACAGACACGAGTGATATTGTTGTCTATACCTAATGTAACACTCTGATGATAATCAATAATAATAACTAATAATTGTTTATTTGCTAAAAACGTATCGTAGTGGTCCGTTTTCTATCATTAATACTTGTTATAGACGAAAGTATATTCAAATAATTTCAATCCCAATATTATTCTAATTTTTTAAATCTGGATTCAACTTTTTACAAATTAAAAATCAATTATTTTTTTTTGATTGTTTCAAAAAAATAACTTATGAGTTACTATCGTATTACGAGTATAACCTGATGGTTCTAAGCCATTAGATAAACATTTCTTGGAAGGTTTCAACTGTTTTTTTTCAAAGGCATACACTCATATAAGTATTTTAATAATAATTATATCTTACCTATGCATCGAAATGTGAAAAATATTTTTAAGATTCCAAAAAAAAAAAGAAGGAAAAAGCTCAATACAAAAAAGGTTGAGAATAAATATTATATTAAAATCTGTTATTCAATAATAAAAACAAAAATTAACTGACAATAATAATCGTACTATATTGATTATTTATTATTTATATTGATCTTAAGTGATAAAATAAATTCATTATTCTAGCTGATATTTTAGATGTTTGGATTTAATTGTAATCACAGTTAATCAATAAAATACAATATTAATATATAATAGATTTTAAATTAGTAAAAGTATTAAAGTAAAAGTCGTAGGGAATTAAATGGTTTGGACGCACTTTCATATTATCATACAATAAGATATAAAATATTAAAAGAAAATTTTCAAAAGTGTTGATTATTTTTTGTAGTTTGTTATATCAATGACGAATGCCGTATAATAATGGTATATAATATTACATAGTAAATGAAACAATAATTTAACGGTCCGAAGAGCTTCAAAAAACAAACTTCCGTTGAGTTTTCACTAAATAATTTTATAATCTCACTGTTGAATCAAACGAGGAAATGAAAAAATAGAAAACCGTTGATAAATTTTTGGATTTTTACTTTAAATTTTTTTTAACCCATCTCATCGAGACTGCAGAGCAAACCTATATTGTAAAGCATTACATTTGGATATCTACTTGATCTTTTGCCAAACAGCAAATTTACTTCCCACGAAAAAACGCGATGAAAATGATTAAAGGTAGGTATGTAGTGTAGAAAGATGAACGATTTCGTCCGCGTTATTATTGAATCGCTAAAAGCCAATGTACTCACTATATTATTACTACCGTCCGTGACAATGTCGGTCAGTACTCACGTGTTATTCGATGACATTGATACTGTCCGTGCCTTGGCTGCGCATATACAAAAACATTCGAACTGTATTGTGGGCAGCAATCCAAACAGTCAGACAAATATTTCCGCGTACTCAGCTGAAGAAAAGTCCACATCGCAAGAAATGAGGGACACTCGAAACGTCGTTTAATATCGGTTGTAACTATTTTGACTATCGTCGTGTGACTAAAAATATAAAAAGTAAAGTTAAAAATATTTTTTATTTTATTATATCGTATTTTATAATAACTGTTGAAGATATAATAATTAACCTTGTTTTTATTTTTATATCTTCTAAAATATTTTATTTTATTTCATTCATATTAAAATAGATTTTATTTCGTAATTCGCTATTTTATGGATACAGTCAAATGCAATTAGCTACAGATTAATATGAAAACATAAAATATTATTTATTATATTTCTGGCGGAAAAATGATCAAAATATAAATATTATAAATTATATTTTGTACAGCGCACTATTATTAAGAGATAACTTTAATTTACATTTAAATTTTAAGTTAAGTTGTATGATAAGTTATTAATGAGTTATAATTTAGAAAATAGCACCAATAAGTAATAACTAATAACAATAAAATTTTTAAAAATCACAATTAATCATGTGCACTCTATGAATAAGTCGATGAGTAAATGGTAATACTGCAGTTGACATCTCAAACTCCCAAAAATACCAAAGATATCCAATTCGCTACCAAAACTACACATCAAATAGAAATTTGAAGCAACTTTATTTATCCAAAAGTCTATGGGAAAAACACATTGCCAAATCAATATATTCATTGCTTTATTCAGAGCTTAAAAATATTTAATTTAAAAATGTAATTTATATTTGTAAGTATTTTTAATTCATACCCAAGTATTTTATCACCAAGTATTAAAATATCTGTGTATTTTAAATGCTTCGAAAAAAGGCATCTGCAGTATCTGTAGTAAAATACTATTGAAAAGTATTTTTTACAAGACTGGTGTACGACTATATTGTAAATTTCCTTAAGACGTAGATATCTAATTAAGTTAATAAATTTAAAATAAATAAGACTGAATAATATTGTACACACCTATAGACTTATTAAAATTGTGTACTTACTACATCGTTTGTTATAGAAGCCGTTGATGATGTCGATTTTATTCTGTTCACGTATTCGCATTGAAATTGTTTACGATATTATTTGCACGGATTTTTGTTCTACAACGCACTGTAATTAATAAACATCTTTACTATTTAGATCCGGTTAACCAGTTATTATTATAAGACTATAATAACAGTATGCCAGAAAAGAATACACCGGCAGTTAATATTGATTATAGTATAATGGTGAATGTTTAAATAAATTATTTTTATTGATAGCAAAATATGTATTAAAATTATTTCATTGTTATTTAGCCGATTTATTACTATAATATAATAATTGTTTTTATGCGATTGCGCATGTACCAGATTCCGAATACCAAACATAGGTATTAGTCAATATAACAGCGCATAGGTACTACTTTATATAATTTGATGATCCGTATTGAAAAAATCTTATTCAACATTTTAAATCAAACAGTATTAATAAGTATACTTTCATATATATATATATATATGTAATCAAGCATGAAGTAAGTAAGAAAAGAATATAAATTAATGAATCTACGGCGAAAAACAAAACATTAAAATTAGATACAGTTAGTATCGGTCATCAAAAATGTTTTGTATGCAATATACAGTGAAACGAAGATAACTATAAATAATATTTATGTTTATTAATGTAAAGCGGAAGTTAATTCGACTGGAAAATTTGACTGAACAAATATAATTCAGTTAGAAGAATCTGCGAGCCATGATAATTGCAATGCGAAATGTAATCGGGTTAATATACCTTGGCACTTGTGTAGGTATATGGATTTAAAATCTATAATATTATATATACTGTCTATACAAGTACAATATTATTGAGATGTATAAAAATCATTAGGCAAAATTAATTTTAATTACGAAATACATATTAATAAGCGCCAATAAACCGCCAATAAGCGTTTATTCAAAATAATCAAAAACATTTATTTATTTTTTATTAAATTAGATCTATTGGCTTACCAAATAATTTTACAAGAAAAATATCAAAAGGGTGTACTAATTAGAAGTATATTAACTGAATAGTGATTTTTCCAACACATCTACCAAATTTGTCAATGTTCGAGCTTATGAGAAAAAATATTTTTGTAACATATAATGTAAATTGAGAGTTATAATAAATTCAATTAATTTTTTTTTTATTTTCAATGTTAAACTCTATGTTAAAGTATATTATAGCATAGAGTAATAATCGTAAATTAAGTGATGATATTTATATAGTACTAGCAACAACGATATTAGTTGCAACAACATATTTTCATAAGCAATATTTTGTTCTTAAATAGCGAATTAAAAATGTCGATTGTTATTGATGAATAATGGTGTTGGTGCAGTTCAATATTCTCTTAAATTTTCCTGCATGTGTCAGATTCCTTATCTATCACTTCCTTTTCCGTCTGCACCTTGATCATAATCTTCTCGCTCAGCACTACATTATTTTCGTTCTTGCAATAGCCCTTCCCCCCCCCCTTCTGTACATATATCATTCATCACAACCGTGTCATATGTGACGAGTTGACACATTAATTCACTTAACCTAACCTTTCTTTTCATCTGTATATTTATACTATTACACCACTTCTCTCCCTCTCTCTCCTCGTTTACACATCATCAATCCGTAATATCTTTTGCTGTGTTGAGAGTGTTAAGACTAATGTGTGCACGTAAAAAAAGGTCTCATAATATTTTGTTTAATCCCCGCGATAACGCGTTTTTAACCGATTTACGTTAGAACGGTGGAAAATTCAACACTACAATATATAAGCGTGTAATCCTTTCTTTAGCGCCCGCCGGCTGTCCATCCGTCCGCTTCGGATCGAATACAAATAAATAATCGTCGCTGTGTGGCGCGCGCGCTCGCGGAACAGGTTGCGCCGGGAGAGAGTGCCGGCACTGCGACGCGACGGCGGCGGTGAGTGAAAGAACCGCCAGAGACGAGCTCAGTTTTCGTACAGGTGTCGACCCGCGTGCAATCACCCAGTGCGGCGCGTAACGTAATCATATAGGTATTACCGTACATAAAATAATATTATAATATTGAAATATTGTCGTAATCGTTCTGTTCGCGTATTTTATTGTTTACAACAATCCTTACGATATTTATATTAGAGTGTGCGGTGTTCTAATCAACTAATTATTACCAATTGTGCGTAATTTTTTTTTTTTTTTTTGGTATTCAAAATTTTTACATTTTATTTTTTTCATAGTTTTAATTTTTCGCGTCTAAAGTACACACAGATGAACAGTGCTCGGTAATCGCCGCCTCGGATGGAATAAAGTTTTCGAAATAGTATGACGTACAGTGACTACTACTGCTAACGAGGACACCTCGAGGGCTAATGTCATAAACCCTCATAATAGTAACAGGTAAATAATAATTTTTCTATAATTAATTTATACCTATACATTATGTATCAGTAATTTTTAGTAATTTAAAAATAGCTAAATGAAAGTGAGTTTGGTGATAGAAGAATAATTTTTTTTTTAATATTATTTTAATTTATTAAGTTTTAAATACACTAGAGCCTCGATAGTCTGGACCCTCGATATCCGGTGAACACGGTTATCCGATGGTATAACTCCATTTGTTCGTAAACACATTTATAGTTTGTTCGGGATTCTTCAGAAAAAAATATTAACTACTATACTTAAGTTAAATTACCTTAAACATTTTTTTTTTTTTAAATTTATTATGTTAAAGTTATTTATTATTTTTATAATTTAAAATGAAATAAATATAAAAGTGATAGAATTAAGAATAAAAATATTAGTCATTTGAGTAGGTAATCATACATAAACCCTTCGGTAATTCGGACGAACCGGTAATCTGGACGATGCTTGATCTGAATTTTATTCGTTCAGGCTATCGATACTCTACTGTAATTAAAATATAGTTAATAAAATTCGTTATCTAAGTGCAACTTTATATACCGAAAAAGTGTACATAGATTCAAAATTGATTTCAATTAAAAATTAAACATTTAATGGTGTAAATCAGAAGACTTCAATAAAAAAAAATGATTAGGTGTATTCATTAGGTAGACCTCCAACGATGAATATTAGTACTTGTTTTATGTCATTGTTTGTATTTTTGCGTCATTTTGCTTATATTTTTGATTACTATGATTATTTCTATTATTTTTAAATATTTATTAAAATTTACATTTGTAGTATAAACGTTTTGAATATTTTTTTTTTTTTTTTTACAAACGTTGTATACAAATATTAAATTAAATTTAAATTATGATGAATTATCACTCTCTATGTGTAGAATTATGTCGTAACCACTTGACGGTTGAAAATTATAAAACGTATCGGGTGACAATAAACGTAGAAGACATAAATATAAATTATAACAACGGTATCCGGTGACAGCTAAAACAATTACTATGTAACTATTAGAAGCGGTATAGTGTGCATACAAATTAGAAACGATTTACCTAAACTAGGAAATGTGCTATGTAACTCAAACTAAAAATATGAAATGATCTGCAGGTTGCAACCTATAAATGTTATTTCTATTTCGATGGCAAAAAAAAAAATGAAAAGATTGGGTCATTGGAAGTGTTTGGATTTAATAATTATTACTTTTTATCTAACACTAATCTCAAACGCCGTGATTTTGACATCTGGTAGTTTCTTTATTTTTTCGAACTTATCTAGTATTTACAAAATTATACACTGCTGATGTGCCACTCGACAGTCAATACCCGCAAAACCACATCGTACATATTTTGTTCGCGTACAGTAAACTATATTATGGTATGAAAAATACAGGATAATATAGAGGTATTCATATATTATAATGTAGATTTCAATAACTCTACAGTTTCGATGTCGTATTTATTTTTTTCATTCGACCAGACACTTTCGATCACGTAAGTCGTGTGCACCGCAGAGCTATGTATTATATTATATTTATATATACGACGCTCACCCGTCAACGTCCTCAGATTCCAATAAAATCGCCGCCGCCACACTCAATGTCGAGCGTGTTTATAATATCCTCTCCTTTCAGTCCAGGGGAGACGACAGAGACGGGTGTACACACAAGGTCTATATTATATAGGTAGCTGGTATTTATATTATAGTTTATGTTGATATTCACCATGGGCACGTTTGTCGCGGAAAAATTCCACTCTGTATGTTAGAAAAATATTATAAATGTATTCATTATAATATAATTAATAAATGTATACAATACTATATATAGTATCGAAGGTGTCTGTGTGTAATGTAAACACGGAGAGGCCGCAAAGACACTGTTGTAATATTAACCTAGAAACAATAATAGAGCGATATTAATCCGCGGTATTTAGTTAAAATATTATACACGCGTTTTTCGATCGTAGTTTAAATTCTAAAAAATGAATCGCGCTCTCAAAATGATAAACACACAAATTCCTAACCGTTGTAATAATTTGTTTCGTTCTCGTTGCACGGCACACGCAGGTGGCTCTGTACGCACCGAGCCTACGTTTAATTATTCTTGTATTACGTATACGGTTTTATATGTGTAAACAACATGGAAACGACGTCATCTATGTAGCGAGCGATGTCCTTCCGGTTTGAAATTTTGGAGTAAATATCTTCCTATTAGTCTATACGTTGCATAGTGTAGTATAATTGCCAAGATAAACGAAATAAATCATGTTGTTCATAATATACCTAATTATTACGATTAAGATCAGACGTCACTGGTTTGTTAGTGCAGTTCGCATATTTATGTCGTTTACAGGAATGGATTATATACAAAAAAAAAAAAACATTTTGTGCTGTACCGTATATTATACGTAGGTGCATAACAACGTAACATCACGCTATACCTGAGTATGAGCATATTATATTATAAAACGTATTTACATATAGATTAATAATATACATAAACATTTATCCAGGAAATAATCGATTTTTCAATCTGGAAGAACAAAGTGGTTTATGATTCGATTAGCTGAAATCTTATAATAATATCTCAATTGTTAATTTTGAAAATCTTTTGCAATTTGTACTCAAAAGTTTTGTTTTTAAGTGCAATTATAGCTTGTAATACTACAAATCATATACCTCCCTCTTACACTACACTAGATAAGTTATTAAATCACAAAATAATAATTCATTGATTGCAGGAATTTTATTTTGCGAATTTTTTAATGTACATCATATTCTGATATAGTGATAGATTTCGAAGGGTGCAATGAGAGCTGTTTCTGTCCACTATTTGATTAACATATAAGCATACATTAGTATTTTTTTAAATCTTTCCCTGTTTTCGTACAAAAAAATTAGAATATCCATCTCCGATTTATTTTTAGATGGGTCCTCCCTTGCTTCGGTGTGTAGGTGTACTATATATTTATATATTTTGTTTTGTTGTCGAAAGCGAATTATAAAATTACATTTCGATATCGTGGATAAATAAATGTAACCTTAGGACGGTTACATGTACTTAAAGGCACACATTTTTACTTAACCGAATACCTCTTATTAGGTTTGTGGTAAATACGAGAACATACATGATATATTTTCATGGTATACTCGTATGCGGTAACGAAAAGGTTTTTTGGTCGAACTGTTTGCAACATTCGAGTGGCCGGTTTAATGGGCGTGTATTTTGTCGCGGCGATTGAATGAAAATGCATATAAATGCATATACGTTCAAATTTGTTTTAGCATTCAATACATGTGTCGATGAGTTTTATCGGGCTTACATAATGTGAAATTACCAGTTTTCATTTACGCTAACCTACTGACTGAATTATTGAAAATAATAATAATAATAATAAATATAAAACTTTCTCGCACTCGTCGAGATTCGTATACGTACATATACACGCGTGACGGGCGATGTGCGAATTAAAAACTTTTTTTTATACACGGAACATCACTTCGACGGTACTATTTTCGTATATTATTACTGTGGGTAACATACTATTATTATATTATCCGATTCGAGCGCTTCTTCTCTCAAGCTTATCGAACGCGTATGCAGCCTGATATACGGCTATTATTTATTATTATTAATATAATGTCAAATAATAACATTATCATATTGGTGGCGCGGCGGTGGCTTAACAAACGTTCGAAGACCGCGTGATACGTGCGCCCGCCAATTGGACACGATTTCCCGACCATGGTATTATAATACTTGAAGGTATAATAATAATATTATTATCGCAAAGCGAGTATAATCAATATAGAACACAGATGCACCCAACTAAGTGATTATTATTCGTCATCGCAATTTCCCACGGATTTTCAAAATATTCATATTCATATTCATATTATTATACACCCCGGTCAGGCCGTCGGGCGAAGGCGAAGGAGAGGGAGGGCGGGGTCGCGGCTTTGGTTCGTTGTGTCCAGTGATGCTCGCGCCCGTATGCCAATGCGCGATCGCCGATGTGGGTCACACACATATGCGTAGAGAATTTAACGCCGTGACAGACCGAAACCAATCGTGAACTATGGGAACATTAAACGTCTATATAAATGTACATATACGTAAATGTGTAGCACACATACGTCCGCAAAACAGAATAAACATGCAAATTGCTCCGAATAAACGGCAATTACGTCGATGGCTATGCAAAAATCTCCATCACATATTATAATGACGACGACGACGCATGCACCACACAACTCGTACACTGCTATCCATTGTATAAATTATTTATTATTATACAGTGTATATTACGAGTAGCCGTGTTCGGTACGATTTTTTGTATTTTACTTTACTTTCCATTCGATAGTCGGTAGTCACACATACACACGCGCACACTCACGCACATACCACCTCCGTCGGTCAGTTAATGTCGTTTTAATGACAGTTACATATATTATACAGTATATACGCACTATATAGGTGCGATGACGTGTACAATAAATAATAATATATTATGTGCATATTGTGTTCAACGGCATTTGTTGTTGTTGTTATTTGATTTTTTAAACGGCTCGATGCGCCCCGCGTGTTACAGTTTCGAAGCGAGGGAAACAGATTCGTGGGACACGCGATTTATGTATATATTATACTGTATAGCTGGCATATTTTGCTGGAGACTGTGGAAACACGATCTCCGTCGTTGCCGACTCTAAGGTAAGTGCATAGCTGCAGACGTTGCGCAACCGTATAGGCATAGCGTAAGAAGTCTCCGGACCGAGACGAGGCGGATCGTTTTATAAACGCGCGTGTTTGTGTTTTGTGTACATCATGGCAATGGTCTCGGAGAAGCGTAAGAGAAAAAAATCAAGAGATTCATTTTAGATATTGCTGATCTTTTTTCTGCCCTTATTTTTATGACAACCCGTTCGTCCGGCGTGACTTTCTCATTACCGTTCCACCTAATGGCGGTTCGAGTACCTATACA